CATAGATGAACAGCTCTGCCACGCCCTTCACTGTGTCCGGCATCACCACCTCGATACCCCACCACTTAATCAACTTAACCCAAACTACCCAGGCTTCCATGCACGTACAGAATAAATGATCTACCTCCTCCATCCCCTTCTTGCATAGTCCACACATCATATTCTCCCCCTGTAAGGTCACTCCTCGTTTCTTTAAATTTCCTCTTGTTGGGAGTCTGTCTAAGCACAACCTCCATCCAAAAATGCTCACTTTAGAAGGCACCAACCTGCACCATACCAATTTACAAAACTGGCTGTCCAACAAGCATTCCATAGGAGCTAAAAAGTCATATGCGTTCTTCACTATATATCTACCTTCCACATCATACCTCCACTTCCAATAATCACCCACATATTTCCTAAGCTGTATACTACCCAATACCTTCCCCAACTCCTTTTCCTCATCTTGCTCCCGACCCATCCTTTTTCTTCGCCACCCTATTTCCCATCTCCAACTATTAATATCCTTGTCAAATTATAGGATTGAGAAACTTTACATGGACTGAGTTTGTGCGGCCATATTGCTTTAAATTGAGTTTAAGGTTATATTTACATTTACAATGTTTCTCTTAGTCATTAGAATGCTCAAGTATGGTGTGGTGTGTTACAAGGTTACTGTGAAATAATTAGAATTTGAAAATATGAAATTTATGGTCCCAAGACTCATGAATTATTTGGTAGGTGCATTCAATACCTTAGTAATGATCAAAGTTTGAATTATGACATTGTCATACTACAATTCTCCATCATTTGACATAAGTATAAGGATGTAATTGAATTGCACATTTTAAATTGTACGTACCTAAGTAGCATATTCAATGAGGTCCACCCAGAATTTATTAAAATTCTGTCTCTAAAGCAGTTAATGGTGCCAGTTACTTATATAATAACTATGAGATCATTTTTCCTTTGAGTCACCCCTGAAAACCATGCTTCTGTGCCCCATATTCCTGAGACATAGAGTATTCGATCTATCAGCCACTACAAATAGATAATGGGAATGGGAAAAAACCCTAGAGGTGTTTAAACTTTAAAAACTCGTGAAATATACATAAACCAACGACACCACAACTATTTCTTTTTTTGTGTTTTTTTCTTTTGGAGTTTCAAAAACAAAATCAAATATCTTCACTCATAAATTTCAGGCATCATAAAAAGCAAATCATGAACCAGAACCACAATACACAATTTTTCTTATGGCAAGTAGTAACATCAAACCTCCAGAAATGAATTGAAGAAAACGCAGAACTTGTCGTTTTTTTTTTTGAATTAATATTCTTCCAGAAACCAGACTTGAGGGTGAAGGCAGGAGAAAGACGATGAAAATTAAAGTTATTTTATTTTAAGTTTAATTAGAGTTAAATCTTTATTAATGATTTAACTTTTTAAATTAATTACTCTAATTTATAAACCAAAAAGAGGATTTACTGGTCATTTTCTTTTTAAAGAGTAATGAAATGATATAGAGATAAACCCATCACAACTTTAAAATTAGTTAGCCTAGAATTATGTAAGATGTTATATATATCACTTAATTCACATGATATTACATA